TAATGTGAATCCTATTGCATTGAGTAGCTTGAAATGATCTTTTAAATGGATAAGAAAGATTATTTAATCTGACTGAAATGAAGTATTTGTCATTTTGAATACAATGAATCACAGCAAAGATCTCATGGGTATAAATATCCCATATCCATGGATTTCCAGGTCAAGATGTCCACGTCAAAATTTCTTCAAAATGTGCTGAAAAGGACTCTTAAGAACTCAGTGTAATTTTGCAGTCTTAGCACTGCCATTTAGTTTTAGAGTAAATTCTGGGCTACCAAAGGCCCCACATTTCTGCAGCCAGTGTGGGATCTCACACTCCTAACAGGCAGCCTGATGGCCAGAGACATGGAACAAGTGGTAGCAAACCAAGACACTGGAAAGAGCAAGTGACTGGTGGAATCCCATTTTCCATTACCGAGGAGCAGCAGGCAATACACCAATATTCAAACCGCATCACTTTCAATCAGAGCTTGGGAAGAGGTTTTCTTCCATTTGGCTCATGTGAGCTCAACCAGGTCAGATGCCTGGAGTCTTCTCTAGAGCAATGCCTGATTCCTGTGAAGGAGTGGATGGTCCCGTCACGGAAAGAGTTGCATCCTGCCCTAGGTAGACCTCTGGGCCAGGCGACAGAGGAAAAGCTGTGTTGAAAATCAAGCACATCCTCAAGTACATCACAAGCATTTATGAAAACCAGAATTTTAAACAAGGAAGCATACATTAGTCAAGTTTGTTATTGCTTTCCAAGATAAGTATATAAATGTTTGGACGTTATAAGCTGAGGTGATCTGATCTCAGGTGATATCTGAAAGGCGTAATAATGACAAAAACTGGTACTTAATAAATCAAAATATAGAAAGCGGAAATGCTGAACTTGGTTACTATGGGTGGATAGCTGGTTTCTCACCAGTGGTCTTTTATTTTCTCTATTTGCCGAGGGACCAGAAAATTCCCCTGAGTTGTGCCAGGGGAAGAAAGGATGTTGAAAAAATTATAGAAAATGATTGGGTACATTTCTGCTTATTATATGGTTATGAATATCATAATACCAATATTGAGATTACATGTGCATAAATGTTTAAAAAAACACTGAAGACACATACATACAGAGTGTAACCATTACTTAGTACTTAACCAGGAAGTGTGCAGATGTTAGCCATGACCCTGATCAGGAACACATCAGCGATGAGCATTAAAGAAATTGGAATATGACCTAATACACAGCAATTACAAGGATATTACAAATGCTATTATGTAGGTAAACGTCTGGAAACTTTGCACCATCTAAAATAGTATACTGAATACTCTGCAATGACAAGTAAATTACATAATGGCATTGTAATTATGTCAATTATACTAGTATATGATATTAACCCTCATCAAGAAAAACCTAGTGCTGATTCACTTTGTTGACTTTTTCTTTTTGCATTTGCTTTGCAAGAATAATCCTAAAACAGAATAAATGGTTTACTAATTTCACTCTTTGCCTTTTCTGGCATTTACTTTTTTTTACCCTAATTTGGAATGCAACCAGATGCTTCTGTAAAAAATAACAACAACAACAACAACAACACACACACACACACACACACACACACACACACACACAGAATTATGAAACAAAATGTCTCTCTTTAAATCTTCAGTTTGTGGGCAACCCAGGCAGTTACCTTGCATGTGAAACTGGATAGGGATTGCTAGACATTCTAAATTACAAAATATGTTTAAAATGCTATGTCGTTGAGGTCACAGTATAAGGCAAACTGTTCTTTCTTTTTAAGTCTGCCACTAAAAATGGCTATAGAACGTTGAGGATTATTCTAAAATAGCAGTATGTAAGAAGTATCTAAAAGTCTTTTGAATCCATGTGTAATGGCAGTGTTGATTAAACCCTTTTAAGAAAATGTAAAAAAAAAAAAAAAAAAAAAAAAAAGCCAGCTGATGGTCATATCCACACTTGGAGGCTTATTGTCCTCATCGTGTAATCTTCATCACTCAGATTTGGTATATGTTAGTAGATTTATAGAAATAACTCTTGCCTGCAACACATGGATGGTGCCAGCCTAGTCCAGGCCAGCAAAATCCTATTAAGATTCTCTGTGCAGTCCTTCCTGGGGGACACATGGTTCACCCACAGTAAATATGGGTCCACAAGAATACTACTAGGTTCATGGCAGTACTCAGGAGAGACTAGCCTATAGTCAAGATTCCCGGGCCCAGAGGGATCAGAGGGACTGTGGCCAACTGAACAATGCCCAGCAAAGTATTGTTCTCTGCGAGTCATGCTGGGAAACACTCCTCTGAAGCACGTGACTAAGCAGAAGTTTTTACTTATTTCAGGGTATGACATGTCTGAAATATTTTCCTTTTGGCTTCCTACCAGCTCATCAGTGTGGAAAATGGAAGCAGCTCAAATCTAATAATCTAGCATAGAAATTCAGGTGTCATTTTGTTTAGAAAATACTCTAGAACAGTGCTGTTCCAATACAGTAGCCATTAGTCACATGTGGCTATTGAGCGCTTGATTTACTAAAGGTGTAACATATACTCCTGATTTTGAATACAGTATAAAAACAAACATTTAAAATATTAATTATTCATATTGATATGCTGGAATAATAGTTTGGCTATGTTGGATTAAAATATACAGTTAATTTTGCCTAATACTTTGTTTTGTTTTTTAAGTGGCTAAGAGAAAATATTTAATTACGTATGTGGCTTGCATCATATTTATATTAGATAGCACTTGTTCTAGATGATAACTTCTTCAACCATATTATTCTAACTTCTACCTTATTCATGTATTCATGGAATGAATGAGCTTTACAGTTTGAGAAAAATCACTGGAATTCCAATTAGGTTTTTTAAATAGTGGAGATCAAGATTGTCCTTTCTGGGAAAATAACCTAGGTTATGCTATGCATCTGAACTTATCTGATAACAAAAATCAATAATATAATATAACTGTCAGCTCTAAAATGCAAAACATAATTTATTGTTCTTTGCTGAAATTCCCTTAATTCTTTTGCTTTAAATATAATTTGACTAGGGGTAACATTATGAAGTAGTTTATCAAAATAAAGCTCTATCTGCTATTATTTAGCTAAGTAATCTTTGAGAGAGATGATCTATCCCATTTCATCAGGTAATTTCAATGTTTGTAGTACTTTCAAAATGTTAACCCAATAATTTGAACCTATGTTGTATTTCTTCTGACCTGACTAAATTAGCCACTACTTAGGCATTATTAAAACTTAGTCTTTAACATACAAGTCAAGATTCAAAACTTCCAGTGATTTTTAAAGAGTGCAATTTATAGATTAAAAATAAATTACCCTTACACCCTCTAGAACTCATCAAGGAATAGGCATGTTCCTCATTTAAATGGGTAAAACGCTCACATACACCCTGGCCCTGGCATTCACAGTGTGTTTCTAAAGTCCACAGGGCCAACCACTGAAGTCAGCCCTGGGTGTTGGATGACAGAACTGCCCTGGGAACAAAATGGAGGTGGCTGGGAGGGACCCTATGATCTGATCTTCTAACTAATTGCCATTTGATAATAATATCCCTTTTCCCTCTCTTCTTCCCATTTGAAATATATGGAACTCTTACTGTACATACCTGTTAGATCTCACTGGGAAAAGTACACCAGGCAATTTATCACTTTTAATGGAAATCTTAATGCTTAGTAAAAGAAAGGCATTCTTAGAGGTTAAAAATAGTGAGCCCTTTATAATAGCTGTAATGGAAATTTTGAGAGAGAGTAAAGATGGAAAGAAACAGAGAAGAGGAGAATAAGTACTCTCTACTAGTTAATAAAAATAAAATAAAACAAACATCGTCTTTCTCTGAGCCCAGGTGATGTGCCTCACTTAAGGGCTATTTCCTCCAAGTCAGCGACCTGTCAGGCCCCTCAACTCTGGGAGATGAGAAATCCTACCTTGTTTTCTTCTCAGGAGAATGGCAGTAAAGGAAGATTTGTGCTTGGAAAGCAGAATGTCTGCCAAGGTCCAATCACTCCGGAAACCAGAGATTTTATTTCATTGTCCAATATAATAGCTTTGAGAAAGTGCCCAAATAATTTTTTAAGATCTCTTTTTTGGAATAGTATTTTTATGTGATAGTCATTTTTTATTATAATTTTGTACACTGTAATTCTTTTTTGAAATTATGTAAGTGTACTAAAATGTGATACATAATTTCATTAAAATGTTCATCTCATTTCAAATGAAATAAATCTGAGGTACTTGTAATTTAAATGTGATTTGTATTAGGGAAAAGCGTTTATATGAAAATCAAAGAAATATCTTTTGGAAAAAATCATAGTAAAGTATAAAGTCTAATGTTACAGCTTCTCAAGTCCGACTTAAAATCAGTGTTTTTTCGTCCTTTCTTTCGTTTTTGTTGTCTAAGGTAAATAAAAAGTTGCACTGTCCTAAATTGACATGAACACTTTCAAAGCTACATTGCAAAATGTGGGCACTTCATTCTAAGTGTGAGAGAAAGATATACTAGCTTTTCAAAACTATCTCTAGTTTATAAGCAGTATATCTAAATAACCATCGATTGAAAGGGAAAAGACTTTATAAACAAAAATGTTTCCTTATGCTAGTAAATCAATAATGAATGATCTTTTAATGAAATACTATTCCGACTCTCTTCAGACATTTTGGCATCAGCCTGTGGGATAGATTTTCCTAAATATTTGAAACTTGGTAATTATAGTTTATCCATAACAATGCTCCTATCTTTAAAGTTGTACACACTCATTAATAAATCCAAATTTACCTGGAAAATGATGAGTCAGTATATGTTGTTCTAAGTCCTAGTTTTATCCTGTCCTTATCTTTTTTTCTTAGCTAAAATTTTTTTAAAAATAATTTTTATTGATTTCAGAGAGAAGGGAGAGAGAGATAGAAACATCAATGATGAGAGAGAATCATTGATTGGCTGCCTCCTGCACACCCCCTATCCGGGTTCCAGCCTGCAACCCAGGCATGCGCCTTTGACCGGAATCAAACCTGGGACCAATTGAACCTGGGACCCTTCAGTCCGTAGGCTGATGCTCCATCTACCGAGCCAAACTGGCTAGGGCTTCCCTAAAATTTTTTACTTCTCCCTAAGTGTTGTCCATCAGAAGGACATCTCATTAGATAGCAATGAAGGATGAATTGGTAAAATACTTTCTCTAGGATTGTAAAATGGAACAATTGTAAGATAGAATATTTTTGGTTATTAGTAATATAGAATATACAGCTAAGGATAAAATAAAAAAGCATTCTCTACACAAGCTTTGGAGCATATGGTTTCATGGCCCTTAAAGTATGCTTCAGTTTCTTACCGCTGTGGATTTTTTTGCACATGCCATACGACTATAAAGTATAACCATCTCCTTGTAAACACTTGAAACACACTGATGATAAGTAAAATGTGAATGTCATAGAAATACATCTTAGAGCACTACCTACTACTGGCTGAGGAACAGTCCAAAGAGATGATTGCCTTGTGAAGAAATCCAAAGGGTACCAATGGTTAGGTTTTCAAAGCAAAAACCATTGGTTATTTACTTCAAATGTGTGCTCCTGGTCCCTGAAAATGCATGTTTTTAAACGTTGTCTTTACTTATAGTTTCAAATTTAACTCTCATCGGTATTAAGTATCCACTACATACCATAGAAGACACTATTTTTCATAAAGCAGTCACATGCATTGAAGTTAGGATTACCAACTGATATATATGTATTTTTTTGCACCTCAAAAACAGAATCACTATAGCGCCTGTCATGCTTCCACACCTTCCTTGCTGAAGAACACAATGTATAAAGTACCGGGAGTTGGCTTCCAGATTGGAAGGAAGCCAGCTTAGTGCTCTGGCAGGACCACATCATTCTGCTCAGCTCCAAATCCCAGAGCAGGCTCTTCAGGCTCTTCTTGCTCTGCTTCAGGGTTTGCTTCTTCCTTCACAATGTTCAGCTGCTCCTCTGCTGGGCCCTCCTCTGCTTCTGGGTCAGCCACCTCTAGCCCATCCTCTAGGGCCTCGGGCACCATCAAGTTGGCCTCAGCATCATTTGTATCAGCATTTTGATTTTCTTCTTCAGCCCAACTCTTCCTCAGCTCAGCCTCTGCCATCTCAGCTGCCACTTGGGCCCCATCTTTTTTAACTTTCTCTTTTGGAACAGCTTCAACAGCTTCAGCAACAGCTTCACTGCCATCGTGGATTGGAGATGGCTCCCGGCTGGCCTTCTGGTTCTCCTGGATGCTGCCATGGCTACTGCTGGCGCTGCCCAGCCGGGAGGAGGCCACCACGGCCTTCACTGCTGCCTGATTGGAAACAGAGGGTCGGGTGTCACCTCCACTGAAAATCCCAAACGAGAGCCCAATCTCAACTTTGCATTTAGGAAGTTTGCTTTTTATGTTAGTGTTCAATCTTTCAAAATATTATTATACCAAGATTGTTATATGAAAACTCGTTTGGAGAAATAACAGAAAAATCTCTTTAATCCTAAACCGGTCTGTATATTCAATTATCTGGACAATTGAAAGTCCGAGTAAATGTGTTTGTCCATGGATTACCAGTTTTCAAAAATTTTAGAGTGTGTTTCCCAAAGTATTCATTTCATGAAACATTGGTTCCATAGATGTATTATAATAGAGGTTATAGGGATAAAAGAGTTCCATGGTCAGATTTATTTGAGAAATCCCGAGTTAAGGTTATTTAATCCAGAGTATTTTAAATTAGCTTAACCATGAAACCCTTCAGGTTTATTTAGTATCGGCCTATAAGTGATGTCTGAGTAGAGCACCATTTTTTGCCCCCAGCTATTCTCTAAAATCCTTGTATATATAGCTGGTCCTAAACACCAATATATAAGAGAAAAGCTATTTTCTCTATTCCACATATGTCTTATAAAAATAGATACATTTCTCGCCGAAACCGGTTTGGCTCAGTGGATAGAGCGTCGGCCTGCGGACTGAAGGGTCCCAGGTTCGATTCCGGTCAAGGGCATGTACCTGGGTTGCGGGCACATCCCCAGTGGGAGATGTGCAGGAGGCAGCTGATCGATGTTTCTCTCTCATCGATGTTTCTAACTCTCTATCTCTCTCCCTTCCTCTCTGTGAAAAATCAATAAAATATAATAAATAAATAAATAAATAAATAAAGTGACTCACTTTAAAAAAAAAAAAAATAGATACATTTCTCTGGATAATTTTCTGTCATTTGAATTTTTTAAATTTTTACCAAGTATGCTAATTATTTATCTATATTATAAAACATAGTTTTTAAAGATTGTTTCCCAATATTCATATATTCATGAAGAAGACAACTTTCTGAATAAATATCAGTTTCCAAAACAATGCCATTTAAGCAGGTCAGCTTTAAGTAAATGAGAAGCAGTGATAATGTATTTGGTGAGTAAATCTCAATATACAACATATTTCCCTTTGTTAACAATAAATTACTATCACGGATAATTTAAGACTGTAAGTGGTTTTATGCCAGCATGGTTGGGATCTCAAAGCAGGATTTTCCTATTACCACAGGAGATGAATAATAGTATTAGATGAAGAATGGTGGAATTGTCTTTGGTAGTTCAAGATAAGGGAGACATCTTTAAAACAAACAAACAAGTCAAATACCATCTTACCTTAAGCTTGCGTCGGGCATTGAATTCTTGGAGCTTCTTTTGAGCAGTATCCATGTGTACAAAATTGGCTGCTTTGCCTGTGACCCATGGGTGCTGAAGAGCTTGGAAGGTAGTCAGCCGTTTCTTAGGATCCAAAACAATTAATTTCCTGACCTGAAGTGACAAAGAGCCAAAGGAGATTTTTATGGTGAGTTGGGCTTGCCCCTCAGCTTGTGAACTTCTAGGTCTGATTCTGTTTCCCTAGCATTACCACTGAATATACTTAAAAAACATTTTTTTAAAGCTATCAGAGACCACCATGGATAAGAATGGCTTCAGGCAGTGGTAGCTGAGGGAGTGAAAAGACAGTGGTGTATGCCACCTGAGAGCCCAAACTGTGAGAAGACTTTCCAACAGAGGTCAAAGAAACAGGTCCTGGCTGGCCTGTGAAGTGTAAGCTCTTTCAAGGAGAACCGGCATCTGAATAATACTAGGCTGCACTTCACATCACTTAGAATTCAGAACTTCAAACACGTCTCAGTGAAGATGGAATCATTTGCTCATCATCATTCATTCTGTGGGGATTAAGTGACAAAAATGGGATAGTATCATAGCCTTTATGATTATGCCACAATGCATACATTTATGGTTCTCTCTAATCCTTTGGGGATACTTGAAGAAATAAACAGAGTGCAGGGGTAAAAACCTATTTAGAATCAAAGTAAGGTGGTAGTGGCTTGGGGACATGATTTGTTTTAAGAACTGAATCCAGCCATGGCAGCCCATTCTGGGAGGTTTACCCTTACTTCTGAGAAAGAGCATACAATAAATTTCCAGGAAGATCAACAACCCAAATAAGGCTAACAAGGGAGGTATCTGGAGTGAGTCAGAGACTATTTGAAGTCAGAAGGCATGTTTCAAGCCCTACTTATGTCTCCAACTGTTGTGACCCTAGACAAAGACCTACTGTGAATTGAGTGCTGATGGACACTCTCCTAGGCCCTTTTGTTATATGATCTCATTTCCTTTGTAAATCCATTCATCCTATATAATTAAAAAAAAAATGCCGGGCTCATGGCTGGTGAGCACAGCAGCAGTAGTGGGAGCCTCTCCTGCCTCCACAGCAGCACTAAGGATGTTCGACTGATGGCTTAGGCCCGCTCTCCCATAGGGAGTGGGCCTAAGCCAACAGTCAGACATCCCCCAAGGGCTCCCAGACTGCAAGAGGGCACAGGATGGGCTGAGGGACTCCCCCCGCCCCCCTCAGTGCATGAATTTTCATGCACCGGGCCTCTAGTGTGTGCGTGTGTGTGTGTGTGTGTGTGTGTGAAAATCACAGCTATCATCTGTTGAATTCAGATATGTATATATATATATATATATACATATATATATATATATATATAAATTTTTAAAAACACATATAATCCTTTGCATAACCTTATTAATTCATAAAGGAGGGATGGAAGGAAGCTCAGAAAGATTTAGTGACTTGTCTAAGGTCAACTTGTAATTAATGGAAAATGTATTCAAACTCAGGTCTGTGCTACCTCAGAGTTCATCTTGTGGTCACTACACAGTAGTGCCGCCCAGGCAGTCAGCTTCTCTGCTCTTTGGTCTACTAGGGTGTAAAATGAGGAACTTTGAATGATTTAAGGTCTGAGATCTTTTCTAACTCTAATAATCCAAGAACTGAACACAGGCTAACAAAATCATGCAGCATGTCAAATGAAGTATAAATATCCACTTCACCTTTTGCTTTTCTGTAAAATATGCAAAGAAATATGTATTTGGGGTAAAAACACTGAATTTGTAAAGGGCAAAGACATGAGATTGCTTAGGCTTAAAATCTGGAAGGAGGTGGAGGGAGGTACAGATGATTAAGAAAATGAATGCACAGCAATAAATAAAAATCTGATAGTAGTCATAGCTATCATCTGTTGAACAGGTGAACTAATACTTTTTATGTATATGATGCCTACTCTTTAACAATCCTTGACAATTAGATATTTTCCTCCCATTTTCCAATCATCCTTTTCTTCTCATGATTACCATTCTCCTCCTCATGAAAATACAAAGAATTTATTGAAAGACAATAGGTACTAAAAATTTACATATACCAGCATTAATCTTTACATTTGAAGATATTGAAGCACTGAATTATTAAGAAACTTGCAGAAGGTCAGAGAGATCCAGGTTTCAAACCCAAACCTTACAAATATCCTACAGCCCCCTTACAACCTGACTCCCCCCTCATTGGCACTGTTGCCTCTGTTGACTACAGAACAGATGTGGGTTCTGCTAGTAAGTACAGATTCAGGATTCCTATAGTTCTGAAGCTTTATAAATTTATTGACTAACAGAATTTAGTTAACTGAAGAAACATCACTACTAACTAATGCTCTTATCCATTTAATTTTGGAAGGGATAAAAAAATATGAAAGAAGGGCTAAATAAAGGAACTATTATTGAGTTGGTGGTTGTTACTTAGCATGTATTATATCCTTTAAGTCTCCCAACAATCTAGAGATAGGTACCAGTGTCATCCCAGATAAGAAAACTAACAGGTTATATAACAGGTTATATAACAAGCCCAAGGCTATACCTTTAGGTTGTCAGGAAAGGGGCACTTGAATCTAGCTGTGTCCAATTTTTAAAAATCCATGGTCTCTGCCCTGATTCATTGTTTCATTCAGTAAACATTTATAGTCTGTATTACATGTCCATAGGCACTAAGATCTGGGCACATATGTTTGATCCTCTTCCAAAGCTTAAGGAAGGCTTTTGCACAAGTAAATATAAGTGGGGGCTATCATGAAAGAGGAAGTCTAGGGGCAAAAGAATAATTTATATGAAGGAGGAGGGACTGCCAAAGGGGGGCAGACTAAGCCTCCCCGAGGATGTCAAATGACAGCTAAGGCTTGAAGATAAGAGTTACCCCTGCAAGAGGTGTGTGTATGTGTGTGTGTGTGTGTGTGTGTGAGAGAGAGAGAGAAAGAGAGAGAGAGAGAGAGAGAGAGAGAGAGAGAGAGAGAGAGAGAGAGAGAGACGGTGAGGAGGAAGAGGGGGGAAGAATGGAGGAAAGAACATTACAAGGCAGAAGAGAGAACAATGATCTGAATCCAGAGCTGCAAGGACTGGAACCCTGGTGCACTGGAGTGCAGAGACCAAAGGAAAGCGATGGGAAATGAGTGGCATGAGAGAGGGTGACAAGCTCCAGACCAGGCGATGTGAGTAGATCTTGTTATGGAGCTTGGATTTATCCTAAGAGACTTGACATGATGTGATTTACTTACAGGATTATACCTGTGGATCCTGTATAGCAAAGGTCATGAGAAGAGGCAGGAAGATCAGACAGGAGGTTGTGACAGTGGTCCAGTGGGAGAGATTGGAGCATGGGTTGGACAGTGGTGGTGGCAGTAAAGAGAAGTGGATGGATTCAAGAGATGTTTAGGAGTGTGGGGCCTGACTTGAGGGCAAAGTTGGGATGACACATCCACATGTCACACATACTGCCTCGTCCCCTAGGCACACTGGAAAAGTCACGGCCTATAGGGGATCTGCCTCATGAAAGAATGTGGATGGTAAAGAGAAAATGTTTGGAGGGAAAAAAAAGCTTTGGATGAGGGGTCTGGAAACCTGATTCTTTAGTTCCTGACAATGACTTTTTGCTAGAAAGCTATATGACCTTGGACAGTCATTTCACTTCTCTGGGCTTTAGCACATTCATCTTAAAAATGAGGGAAGCACCTGGCCCGTGTGGCTCAGTGGTCGAGCGTCGATCTATGAACCAGGAGGTATGGTTCGATTCCCATTCAGGGCATATGCCCAAGTTGTGGGGCTTGATCCCCAGTGTGGGGCATGCAGGAGGCAGCCAATCAATGATTCTCTCTCATCATTGATGTTTTGTTTTTTTTTTAATATATTTTATTGATTTTCTACAGAGAGGAAGGGAGAGAGATAGAGAGCTAGAAACATCGATGAGAGAGAAACATCGACCAGCTGCCTCCTGCACATCTCCTACTGGGGATGTGCCCGCAACCCAGGTACATGCCCTTGACCGGAATCGAACCTAGGACCTTTCAGTCCGCAGGCCGACGCTCTATCCACTGAGCCAAACCGGTTTCGGCATCATTGATGTTTTTATCTCTCCCTCCCTCTTCCTTCCTCTTTGAAATCAATAAAAAAATATACATTTTTTTAAATGAAGGGAAGTCATCTTAGATCCCTTGGAGATCTAATTTCTGTGATTTAAAAGTCAGCTTTTAGTAATTTCTGAATAATTTTTTTCTAGAGGATTGATGGTAAATGTTTAATTATATGCTAGTATCCTCTTTATTTTAGAACTGGTGGGCCATCTCCCCATTCATTTCCTGAATGCAAACAAACTTCAATATAAGCCTAAGTGACAAGCAAAGTAAATCAAGCCAACAATAATAAAAAGCAAACAAAATGCACTGTTAGTACAGTGTAACTTATTTACAGTGCCAATGATGCATGGTGGGACTTGTGTTAGTATCAGGATATTTTAATAAGTTTAAACATTTTAAGAAAAGAATATTGTTTTAGTTTAAATACAACCAAATCTAGGTAATAGCCAGCCATGTTAAAACAGAATTCTTCTGTGTAAATTATGTTTAGATTCACCTAGCACATCTGTCTTCATAAGCAAGGCTCTACATTGACTAAGTGGGAAAAGATAATTAATACTGTAGTAATTTGTAATCTGTGATAACTCAGCTAATGATGAGTCAAACATATCTATTTTTCATTATGTATAATGAAAATTTATTAGCTTGCATTGTTTTATTAAAAATACAATTATAAAGAAATAAGATATTAAGAGGGGCAAATTTTACAAATGACACTGCCCACTAGTAAGCTAAAAATGAATGTGAGGGATTTTATTTTGTTTTGTTTTGATCACACTTACCAAGTCCTTGGCATTTAGAGATACTTCATCCCACCAGGGGGAGATAAAGTAATATTCACAATTCAGAATTCTCCTGAACATGAACTGGTCACCTCTTTCATCATAGAATGGTTCAAATCCACAAAGTCTAGAGGGACAAAAGATAGAGAATACAATGTCTTTCAAAACTTAAGTATCTTTCACCAATATTTTTGTAGAAATTTCAAGATTGTTCTTTCTCACAGCTTCATGTTATGAATGCAAGTCTACTCAGCACAGGTATGAAATAGCCTTGTTACAATTTGCCTTTGAGTGTGTAAACACACAATCATGTTATCAGGAAGTAGGAATAGATACAAAACCAACGTTAGATTTCTAAGAACAGTTACACTAATATTAATAATTATGACAAAAAACACCTATGACAATAGCTAACGTTATTATAAGCACCATGCTCATGACTCTCCATGAATTTTTTCTCCAGGAATCGAGAAGATAGTGATTTGATTAGAGTTCCAGTTTATTATGAGGTGGAAGAATTAGGATTTAGAGAATAGAGATTTAAAGGTGGGAAGAAAAGATTTTTCAGTCATTTTTATTCAGCCCTATCCACTGAATTCCTACATATACATAAGCATTATGTTTCCACTGCATTCCAGTTTGGATTTCAGAGTGAACAAAGACAGGAGCTAAAACTACTGTTGGAGAATGGCCTTTTGAAACTTCATACAGTGAACAGATAGATGCAACCAACAGAGATGAGCAGCCTAGAGTCTCTTCCACCTTGTATGAGAACCTCGCTGTTGTACATTTTACAGACATTTCACTATGTTCCCACTCATTTTCCACAGCAGGGTCAGGAAAAAAAAAGAATGGAGGAAGTGGGAGAAAAGAAATGGAGAACCACCTGTGGCATCCCAAGGACAGAGAGAGGAAAAGTGAGCTCCAGGTCCAGGATCGCGAAGCCTCCACTGTTTCTAGATGGTGAAGGTTCTGAAATCACTAGGCACCAAAAGGAAACTATAAAAAAAAAAATCCCTGCCAGGGCATGTGCTGCATTTGACAGAGAATGGGGCAAAGAAGAGGGGAAGAATGAATAAGTTAAAAAACATTTCACCAAATTCTTCCTGGCTAGATTGGTGCAGAGCATGAAATGTTTTGCATCCCAACATAATGGGTTTCTAAGAAGAAACAATTCCGCACGACCCTTTGCTCTGGGAACATCCCTTTGGGAGAGTCTTTGTCTTTTTCAAACATTCAGGAGCAGCCAGGCAAAGGCAAGGCCAGAGGTGCTGTGGCCCAGGCCATGCACCCCCCTCTCCCACTGCAGTGCCCCCACAGAGGATCCGACTCCAGCTTAAGGAGAGAAGGAAGCGCATGTCCACACCTTGACAAGGAGGCAGCCCAGCCTTACCTGGCCCTCCACAACCCTAGAAAAATAGCCTGTTGGTTAGTCATGGAGAAATTAGCCAACTTTCCAGGTTTAGTTTAGCTTGTGTTTCCTGGAAATCTAGAGAGACAAATGACAGTTCAGAAGGTACAGTACTCAAATGCCTTTCTTTCATTTCAGTCATGTCAGCAAATTTGTACATTGGTGACAGAGGTAAAAAGTTTATGTCATGTCAGCCTGAAGTGCCAAAAGTGAAAGAAATGTGACACACAGCAGAGTGCGCGCGCACACACACACACACACACACACACGTCAAAAACCCTTTCAAAATGGGAAAACGAGAGTGCTGACAAGGACCACTTAGGAGGGTGCTACGATTACACTGGCCTGATGTGTGAATGTATATAGTACAATGGCTCCAAGGCGTTGGGCAGAAGTGCCTTGTTGAAAGCTGAAGGAGAGTTTGAATCTCTCTCGTTAATCTGATTCTGACTCTGACCTCAGCATTGCAGTAGTTGTTTTTGTCTGTGGGAAAGAGTTTAGTTGTAAAGGTAGAGGGACCAGAATTCCTGTGAGAAACAACAACATGGCCTTCATTTCCAGCCTACTGTCATCCTTGGAAATAGCGAGGTCATAACACAAAATGGCCTGGCGGAACTTTCAATGATAATAAAGGAGATGCATAGGTCCACGGGCACAGTTCCCTGGAGAAAATGTTCCAGTGAGCCTCCCCAGGTAGACTTCACCAATTATTAATGAGCTACAGATACATGAAAAGTCCCCAGACCCCCTGGCAATGGGCAAGGAGACACCTGATGGGTGGTGCTGCTCTTATATCAGTCAGGGGCCAAGCAGATGTACAATCCTGGGTTCATCCTAGCTGATGCCTGTGTGGGTGGCCAGAGCGTTTCATGCCTGGGGCACATAAAAAATAAAGGCCCCCAGGCTAACAGGAGTTAGACCAAAATTAAGGGATATATTTGTTGTAAGCAGCAATCTTATTTTCATTCTGGGGGTTCCTGCTGCTACTTTCAACCAACAGCTATTAATTAATGACCTTAAGTAACTAGGGGAAAGGACATTAAAATTATTTTCAAGGCTATAAGATGTGTCTCAAATGATCACAGATTTTTCTCTACATTTCTCCTTGTCAGTGACCATACCATGGAGTTACAGTCATTCCATATTTCATTTTTTCAGGGTGACTGTGACTTAATTTCCTACTTCCATCTCTCTGAGTTCTTACACATCCTTAATGCTTTAACCCCTCCAGTAACATTTCAACATGAAATTGTAACTGGGTGGGCATAGTTACATTTTAGGGGCAAATATGAATCATTATTTGTGTAGTTCAGTTTTTCTCTTAATGTCACTAAGTATGATATGCCACCTCCATAATTCAGGAAACAATATTCTTTCCCAATATAAAAGTGATCTCTGAAAAATCTTCTGAAGCTTCAATACATTCAGGAAATATCTTTGGACATCACATAATCGCCTCTGGCTACTTATAGGTTGCTTGTTGACCCTTTAGTCTTGGCTACTGACCAATGTCTATGCTCCGAGTTTACTAACTTGGTTGGGGGTCTGACCCCAGTCACCCCATGCCTAGCCATATTACCTAGACACTGCAATTTCTAAGATCACTATCAAATTAAAAACAAAACAAAACAAAACAAAGCCCTCTTTCTTCCATGAACTGAATTGTGTCCCCTTTCCAATTCATGTATTAAAGCCTTAACCAATGTGATGGGATTTGGAGATGAGGCTTTTGGTAGGAAATCAGGGTTAGAGAAGATCATGAAGGTGGGACCTCATGATGGAATAAGTACCATGTTAAGAAGAGGCACCAGAGAGCTAGCTTCCTCTCTCTGCTATGTGAGGATACAGTGAGAAGGTGTTTGTCTACATGTCAGGAAGAAAACTCACACCAGAACTCGACCTACTGGCACCGTAACCTTGGACTTCCAGCCTCTAGAACTGTGAGAATAAATGTCTGTGTTTAAGCCACCCAGTCTGTGGTATTTTATTATGGCAGGCTGACCTGACAATATACTTTCTTCTACATTCTCTAAAATCCCCTTACAGAATTGAATATTATAGGTTCCAACAATTAACCTTGCAGTATCCTTTAAATGGCAACCAAATCTGCTTGTTTTGAATTAAATTCTGGAACTCATTGATATCTTGCTTTTTTGCTGTTGTAGGCATATTCTTCACTCTTTTATCATTCTTTCTTATTTCCCCTGTATTCATCTGCAATTCCATCATCTCTTTGGCAAGTTTCCCCAAACCCCTTGTTTATTGATAGAAGGAGCTCAAGAATGAAATTGGGGATACCAGAGAGTAAGAGATTTAGTCCATTTTTTTCCCTACCTAATGTTTCTCGAAGTTTACGGTATTAAACTCAAGGGCCTTGAGAACCTAACAGAGAAAGGAAATAAAACTGATAGCTAAAATGCATTTAAGACATTTCTGATGGGAAATGTCCCAGTTTGGGGCTGCTTAAGAGATTAAATATCTATTTTCCCTTTAAAAAGGACTAATAGCCTAATTATTTTGACAAGATGCAAATAGGTAAAATAACAGCATTTAAAATAAATGAACATGAGTTTCACATATATTATTATCACCAAATAATGAATTGTTCCCCAAATCTGCTCTGCATTGCATAGCAGAATGAGACACAGAAAGCCCTGGACAGGAGTACTGGCCCAAGAAAATTACAAAATAAAAAGCAATGCTCAATTTCAGAAAATTATATCACTAAGTATTTTTAGTATGTTGTAGAAAATCACAAAAAGTCAAAAAGTAATCATGCTTTTTATGAGGCCCGTGAGTACCTAGCGAATACTACAGTAAAGGCAGACAGTTTGCATGAAGATTGCTTTTCTTCACTTACAGGATGTAGGTGATTATCCCCACAGACCACATGTCCACCTCAGGTCCGTAGGCGCAGCCTCTAAGAATTTCAGGTGCTGCAGGAAGAGCAAAAATTGTGTTAAATTGGAGTTTAAATTCAACACTTACATTTTAATAACAAGCAATGGGGAAGAAATGAATTCATCAACATAAACTTCAGAAGAGTTTTATAACCAATCTTCTTTCCCCAAACCAAAGTAGAAGGCTACAATTCTTACATCTATATTCGTGGGAGAAATTATTGTCTCTCTGTGTTTAGAGTGCATAAAGAGAAAGCTGTTAGCTTTAATATTCCACATTATGCAGAGATCTGTCTCTGCTACAAAAGATCCCTTACTTCAAAGGAAGCTTTGTACACAGAAAGGAAAGAAAAAAAGTTTGGCATAGTAAGGGAACAGGCACAATTATGCTACCTTGAGAACTCGGTCTGTTTGGCGCACGGGTGTTCATGAATGTTTGTTTGACAGAGGCCGGGTAAACAGTGGGAAGGACTGAAAAATCCCTAGTGCCGAAAGGCTGGAACAGGAGCTGGGAGGGCCCTGGCATATGCCCCCGGGTGATGTTGAGAACTACAGAGAGCAGCTGTCCCCAGTGAGTTTGGGGCTATGAACTGAGAAAGGAGGACTTCTCTGTGTAGAATGGGGCTACTCCTGTTAGCCCGGCCCACACTGTGAAAGAGGAAGGCGTTCTCAACCACAAAACAGCCCTTAGTACAGAACTGTGAAGAGCTCTTTTATGTTTTATTACCTTGGAGCCATGAAAATGGAGAGTTAACTGAATCCAAGCCTTATGGATTGCAGGTGGTGTTGGTTTGCTTTACTAACAAAGGAACAAAAGATGCCAGAAGTCTACGTCTATGCAGAAATAAGGCTCAGAACTACAGCCCAGAGTGGGCTTTTTTTATTTTAAACAAAAATGCTGTAGGTGTCAGTGGGGTCCCCAAAGAAGGAGCTGACTGATGGATGCTGAGGGCTCCTTGAGGGAGGCCATGGGGATGAGGGGGCACCACATTCCTCCTCGTGGCTGGGGACAGGAGAGCATGTGAACGGGACCCCCGTCCCTGCAGGCTGGAAATACCATACTGCCACAGTGAGCTGTCCGCATGGGACTCTGGATTTAACTTTCAGGAAGAAACACAGCAGCTATTCCACTGACATATTCCCATACTGCCCCCCTCTCCCCATCCTTCCCCAATCAGGTTCTTCTCATTCCTGTAGAACTTGTGTTCCAGGCGACATAGAAGATGAAGAGTCTGTGTGGTGAAATGGTGTGCATTACAGCACTCTTAGCAGCAAGTCGGCAAAATGCACCCTTTAAGGAATCATATCTGGGGCCAAGTAGTTCTCATGCATAGGCAAATTATTCCTAGAAAACTTCCCTTTTAAGATTCAATTAACATAATTAAGGGAAATGCATGCTGCATGCCAACACCATTCACTCTGTCAGGTTAGCTTTCATTTCCCAGAGCAATCTGTACCCCACAGACGGTTCCTTTGGGCCCCAGCAGCCCCAACACTGAATTCCCACTCACAAATGCTTTGCTCATCATAATGCATAGGAAACTCAAGTTAGGCTGCCACTCTCACGAGGGCTCCTACGTCTGTCTGTGCATCTGAGAGCTGTTCAGTCTGGGAACTGAAATGCATGCACAGGTCTTCACAGCCATGAAGGGCTACCAGGCCCCACGCTGCATTTAAACAGAAATACAGAAATAGGGTGGGCAGAGTCTTTTACAGTTTCTGGGGCTTGGATTCAACCTCTAAAATCTGAGTGAACTGGACTGGCTATTTCCAAGTTTACTTTAAGTTTTAGCCTGCAAGCCACTGCGATGCTGGTAAAGGGAGAGTCACTGACCGTTCAAGCAAGACGAGAGGACAGTACTCTACCGACGGAACCTGCTACACTCCCTCCCTCCTGCCAGAGCGCCTTCTGTGTGTGCTGCTCCATGGGCACTTCTCTTATTGGCTCCAGTGAAATCAGCCCTCCCACCCTGTGCTGTTTAGAGGTCAGGACGCTGTCGCAAAGGTGAGATGCTTTTGCTGGCCATTATTCACAGCTCCCAGGCCAACAGCCTCCAATAAAGTGAATACCGTGGAACAAAATTCTCTTCGAATCCACTTTATAGGGCATCTAGCATTCTTAACTGCCATGGCAATATCTCCCTTCATAGCACTGGGTACAACCTCACTTTCCAGAGGCAATTCATCTCCTTGTAAGGCATTATGTCGCAATGCACGTGAACTTGTGGTATGACAAGCTGAACTTTCCATCAGGAGGCTCATAGACAAAAGAAATATAGAATGTGTTCGTCCTCCATAATACATTTCTCTTAAGATTTTTTTAAAAAGAAATTAATAATATTTATTAATCATAATATAAAATTTGGGTAAAACACACTCTAAACACCTAGACACAGTTAGATACCATTCATACTATCCTTTAAATGTTTGCAATTACTAATTAATGTGACCTTGACTTCAGAGCCGGCAGGACATACTCTTGTAATCAATCTATCCGAAGCCTTTCCATGAGCCAAAAGTTTTTCTAGAATGAAGTTCAGGCTCGGGCACACCAGGGCTTCAAGTCTCCCAGGGATCAAATGTCCTTGCAGGGAATTCTACTTACCTGTGATTTTCTTAGAGTGAGAAATAGCTGACTACCTCCAACTTAGTTCAAGAAAAGGCATCAGCTAGCCCACCTTTAATGCTATACGCACATCTGGATGTCCTTCCTATATTTTCTCAACTCATTGCCAAAACAAACAAACCAACAAAGTGGGGGAGGGAGAAAATTTCAGGTGTGATACAGTTTTTAGAATTAATTTAAAATAGTTTAGAGTCATCTTTTTCTGAAATAGTCAGTAATCATTTATTGATTTTCCTGGCTATCTTTTAAGTTTCCTTTTCTGCCTGACCCAAGTTCCCTGCCACTTCCTAAAATTACCTTATCGGTCATGCTATTGTCCATGGAACACTAACTACGACAGAGGTCCTAGGAGAAAACATACTCCAATCTCCAATGAAGAATAATTTTGGTAGATGGTTTTGAAATTGCCAAGATATCAGACACACCTTTTAAAGAAGCATTTTTAGCTGAATACAAAAATTATATTAAAAATTCCAGCTCTAATTATATTACTTATTCACCAGTATACCACTTAGACCTCGCAGTGCTGATTTTTTTATAAGACCAGAGTACCATTAAAATATCTAGAGATTGAGGACCTCTCTATAGATAGGAGTGATTGTCAATTGATTAAATAAACTCACTGTACCAAATTCTGGAAATGGTCTTAAATAAAAAGCATCAGGTGTGGAGTATGACACCCAGGGACCATTTGTGCAAGGTTTTCCCTCTTTTCCTAAAGCCCTAGAGACTCTAGGGCCTAGAGAAAAATTAAGGTTGATTTTGGTCCTTGATTGTACCTTCATTTTGTCAATGCCCTAGGGCCGTGGTCGGCAAACTGCAGCTCGCAAGCCACATGCGGCTTTTTGGCCCCTTGAGTGTGGCTCTTCCACAAAATAACGACTTCTGCGCATGGGCCACGAAGTTTCAATCACACTGTACGTGCGCGCCCGCACGTGGTATTTTGTGGAAGAGCCACACTCAAGGGGCCAAAGAGCCGCATATGGCTTGCGAGCCGCAGTTTGCCGACCACGGCCCTAGGGGACCTTTATGATCCCTTCCTACCTAACAAACCAACAAACTGGAGGGAGAAAATCATCTCAGGTGTAATACAGAGTGAAAATTACAAAGTGGCATTCTTTATCAGAGGACTTTTTCAAACTACTGTTAACTGTTTTGAGAAAGTCAAATCCAAGGGAGACTAAGGTGAATGAAATTAACAGGTTCATTCATTCACTCATTAAAGAATTATGAGCGATTCGTTAAGCACCTGCTGTATGGCAGGCAGTGTGTTAGGTGGTGCTAGGGCAGTGGTCAGCAAACTCATTAGTCAACAAATACCAACAGTACAACGATTGAAATTCCTTTTGAGAGCCAAATTTTTTAAACTTAAACTATATAGGTAGGTACATTGTTATTAACTTAATTAGGGTACTCCTAAGGCTTAGGAAGAGCCACACTCAAGGGGCCAAAGAGCTGCATGTGGCTTGCGAGTTGCAGTTTGCCCACCACGGTACTAGGGGAAGAGGAGTGTGGAGTTAGAGTTCAAGCCTGCCATCATGGAGCTTATAGTTTGGAGGGGGAAGGTGAGGTTGATCAAGAAAACCATGTGAAGAAACGCAAAGTGGTGATTGGAAGTGCTTGTAGGGAGAGTGTCTCTGATAGAGGGTTGACTTGGTCAGAATGAGAAAGCAGTTTAACCTGAGATGTAAAGGATCCAGAGCAGTTAACTAGGCAAAGTGGGAGAGGGCAGTGGTTGGGGAAAGAGAGAAGAGGGTGCGGGCGGAGAAAGCACATATGAAGAGACCTTGTGGCACAAAGGAGCAAGGGGCACCCAAGGAACTGGGGGAAGTCAGTGTGGCTGGAGCACTTAGCAGGCAGGTCAGCGCCAGGCTACGGATTCTAGGTCAGGGTTGCTGTTTGTTTATGAATTCTCTCCTATGCTTTCATTTTAGTGATTCAAAACATACGTGTGTGTGTGTGTCTTTTTTTCATCTTAAAGCCTGAATCTATCTTTACTTCTATGCTACAGCATAGGAAATTTTCACTGTAGAGGCTTTTCTTAAATTCAGAGTTTCTTGGGGCCACAAAAATCTATGTTTTAGGCTCTAACTCAGCCTGTCCATTTTCCTGGACTCTCTTGGTCTTTTAATACTATAAATATCCGTCAATCCACCTCTCACTTAATATTTTTTCATTTAAGTTGTTAAAAAGTCTTCTTTGCCACATGAACTGTGTGATATTTCTCGATATCTTTTTTTAAGATAATAGCACAGAGGCCACACCTCTTTTTTAAAATTTATCTTTATTGTTGAACGTATTACAGATGTCCCTCTTTTTTCCCCTATTAAACCCCCCCCCCCCCACTATTGTTGGATGAAGAAAGTTAGCCTGCTTCTTTTTCTTACCTTTCCATTTTTGTGGGATGAGG